GTTATAATTAATTCAGGTTCTGGGGTGCCGAGTGGAGCCACAGATCCAGGTTTCAACAAACTTCTAAAAAAGCAACAGAAGAAAAAGTTATGAAGCTCAGTGATGTGGTCAGAAGTTATCCATCTTTAAGTTCAGATGAGTCAAAGAATTACCAAGCTGAACTTCAACCAGAGTTCAACCACATTTGCTTTTTAAATTACTAAAAAAAATGACACCAAAAGATTGACTGAATAATTCAACAGTTTGCATGAATCTCGCGACGTTTTGTTTAACCAACAAACTACAATTGAATTAACGACTCAATGATTGGTCGCATAAAGAACAAGTTTTCCAGCTGGTTGTTCTTCCCAGTCGTGTTTCCACATCGTGTGGAAGGAATTTTTACCTGTTATGAGCTTAATGACCATAAAACCAAACGAAGCTGCTCCAGTGCTGAGCAGGCGAAGGACGGGACCTAAAGTCCTGACCTCAAGGTGAAGGGAACGGTGGTGGTATTCCAGTTTCGATAAGCTGCCTCAACTTCAATTTAGTTTTAAGTCAACTGATGCATAAATTACTCACATAAATAAGATGTTGATGCATTATTCTGCCAAAGCAACTAGAAGTGAGTTTGATTCTTTATCTTGCAGCCGTGCACGTAATCAAGTGGTGTTCATGTTATCAGTGTAACTCAAGCAATGAACCTCCGTACATCTGGAGAAGCAAATCTAAAATTCTGACGCTGAAACATCCAAACCCACCAAATCCTACATTACCCATGATGCAGCACTGTTAGTATTTAAGCCGAGGTATGTTCTCAGGCTTTATGAAGTTCCCCTGCAGAACATTATGCTGTTTAACCTCCTAAAAAGGGAACGTCTAGTTTCTGAAGATGTTTAGCATGTGGCTGAAATTAAAACGATTTGCTGGCGTTTTAAAAAGGTTTCAAACACGTTGAGTGCATCACAGAGTGAGCAAACAAACTAACTACAGATTTAAATAATGAAAATCCCATGAAATCATGACACAAATCAGACGACTGATCTTCCCACAGAAAACACTGAAGATGACTGTTGTTAATAATAACTGTCACTGTAGGTCCTGTTTCATGTTCTTGTCCAGACGTGTTCTGGTTCCTCCTCCTCAGACCAGCAAGAATCCCTCTGAGCAGATTTGGGGGGTTTGCATCACACAGACTTCAACACAGCAGGAACATCCACAAACCAGAACTTCCCTTTGAATGATCTTTATAAGTCAGAAACAAAACCAATCATAACGTTTGCTGCTCAGGTCAAGATGACAGGAAGTTAAGGTCATTCCTCTGCTTCTCTAGACCCCCTCCGTCTGGTGACCCTCCACTTCAGAAACTGTGTCAGATGTCTGGGTCATGCTTTTGCGTCCGGGTCAGACAGCGAGTCAAAGCTGCTTTACTTTCCCTCCTACGCTGTCGGACAGTCGCAAACAGACATTTATCTACCAAGTCAGCCAGTTACAAAACCAGCGAGATTTTACAGTTTTTGTTTTTTGTTTTGCAAAATCTGTACGCCTAAGACTTTTAGACGACCGTTCTGTCTGAACAAAGCCAAAATATTTGAGGTCATGGTCTCTTCAATCAGTTCAGAGCCCCAATAATCCCTCAGTCAAGTCAGTAAACTCTTAGATGGTTTTACTGTAAATTATTGAAGTCAATGCGATTAGAGTTTCCCGGCAAAAAGCACAGAGGAAGGAGCCGTCAATCAGGAAACAATAAGAGCTTAGAGCGGAGGCCGGCTGGAACACGTGACGGATTTCTTGCTGCTAGCGAGTTCTGCCCAAATCTGCTTAGAGTGCAGATGAAGTTTTCGCTCATGATGATCTTCAACAATCCCGACCATTCCAGCTCCTCTAATCTCCGCTGTGACGAACGTGAATCGCTGGAGTGAATGTGGAGCAGAAATCAGACCGCTGCTGGAGAATCGTTGCACGACACCAACACATTAGCCGACTGCTTTTTTTTTTTTTTTTTTTAGATGGAAACGCTGTCACGGACTTAACACCAGCTAAATCCTTTCTCCTCACTGCTGCTGCCACTGATCACACTGATGGCCGACAACATCTGTCCGGCTGCTGCTCGGCCCACAAACAGCAGGAATAAGGACGGACGGGGACGGGTCAGGGCGCCGGGGAGGGGCCGAGGGACGGTCAAAGTCAAAAGAGACGCAACGAGACACGGCGGCGAGACAGACGCCCTGACGCGGGTCGTCTATTGTCTGAATTTACCACTTCCCCAGAAAAAAAAAGTGCAAAGGAGCAACTCCTAGATGAGGGATTTCCAGACTGGAATTAGGGCCAAAGTTTCCAATCCTAAAAGTTTCTGAGCTCCAGTTTACTCCTCATTTTACATGATTAAATGATTCCAGACCCAGTTGTCCAAAGCATTGTGCACGACACTGGCTGTCTTGTGTCCTAGAAAGAAAAGGGGACCCATGTTTTGGGTCATTTGTCCTTGAGCCAGTTGTTGTTCTGCACAGAAGACTGTTGTTACTGGTCAGAGTCAAAGACAAACTGGGAAAGTAAAAAAGATGTCAAGAGGCACCCAAGATGTGGCGTCTGTTGGTCACCACTACATGGGACACCTTTCCGGAGCATTCTTTAATGCGTTCTGTCTTTCAGGTTGGGCTAGTCCCGTTTTTAGAAACTGCATTACGAGAAGGCCGCTCCATGAAGTCCTTGCATGGGCGTCCTTCTCACTGGAGCTCGTAGACGACGTGCACGACGAACGATATCGCTGATGGAGCTGACCGACTTCCTCAAGACTCACAACAAATATAACAAAATAAAAGTGCAGATGCACAGCTCGGTGCTGCAGACGTGGAGAGTAGGAGGTTAATAGTGCAATCTCAACCCAGATCAGGGGACGTGGTCGGAGGAGACAGAAGGAGCAGGAAGTCAGGGGTTTCCCTCTTCAACACCACCTGCACTGGTTTCATTAAAGAGAAACGGCTCAAAGGAAGCAGGCCTCTCAGCCCTAACCCTAAGCCTCAGCATGACCACATGGGAAGAATCTCAAAGAGGAAGAAGAGTCGATGACCGCGGCTACAGGAGAGTCAGAGCTGTGTTCAAAGCACTACAACTACTGATGTCAGAGTAAGAAACGAGTTGCAGCGACAACACAGAGCTGTCAGAGGAGTGGAGATATTCAGGGATGAAACGAATCCAGAAGCATCACTGGTGTTTCTAAAAAGCCACGTCTCCGGCATCACTTTGGTTTAAAGCTGGTTGGCCCTTAAATGTCTGATCTCAAACAGACAAATAATAGAAAAGCTCATCTTTAAAGTTATTCTGAAGGACTTTAAGATGTTCATAACCTCTTTTATTTCATGCTTATGTTTCTGATTATGAACAAGAGCCTCAAACTCAGGAGCATTGGGTCAGTTCAAGACTTTTCAGCTCCTCAAACAGACACAGACAGTGATGAGGTCCAACTCCAGGCTTCACCTCATCAGCCACCCACTCTGCATCAGCTACGAGGTCTTGGAGCTGCTGGTCCAGTCTGAGATAACCGGCACGAAGGAGGGAACGTGGAAGCCAGTGAAGTGAAAGCACAAATGAAAGAGACCAGCTCCCAGCCGCTGACGGACCGGGGGAGGAAAAAGAGGAGTAAATCTCCCTCTCAGGAGCGTCAGAAGCTCCGCCCTGCCTGCCCTCAATCAGGCCTCAGCTGCTCAAGTTAGCGTCGCTACTCTGCTCTCATTCATCCCGTCACAGGCTGAAACACAGGAGCATGAATGAGTGGATGGAGGTCAACGAGCTGCAGCTCATCCTGCTGCTGCTGCGAACCACAGGAACGTCACTTAGATACTGTCATCAGAATCTACAATTAAATTCACTGACGTTTGCAGTGTTTGATGGTCTAAATATACTGTTATTCATTTGTGGTATCCAGGAGAGAGCAGAGGCATTTTTATCTGCAAATACACAAACTACCATCTACAGAGAGCTAGCATCCACCAATCAGCCACCACTTTAGAACCTCTAATACTCTAAAGGTCGGCACACCTCAAAGCCGTCACATCCTGGATCCCACAGACCTCTGAACGTGTTCTGGGGTTTTCTGGCTTTGTCATGTTCCTCAAAACATTTCTGTGCAGTTTTTGCAACATGGAAGCTTGGATCGGACCTCCCTTCTGTTCATCAGTGAGCCTTGGGGGTTCAGAACCTTGTTGCTAGTTCATCAGTTGTCCTTCTTTGGACTCCTTTGGGTCGGCACAGCTCCGTTCTAGAGATGCTCTGTCATCTAACGATCCTGTTTAAATTACAACTCACATATTTATGCTTTGGATTTTTCCTTGTTTTCAACATATCCAAGAATTGATGTATTTAAATATATTTAAAGCCATTTAAACGAGATAACTAATGTTGTTTTGTTGGTTTTGTTGTTGGTTTTGTTGTTGGTCACTAAGCCGGGAAGTTAAATGAAAGAACGGACCATTTATAGATTATAATTTGACCTAATTTACACAAGTTTGTATTAAAACAAAAATGTTGTGTTGTTTCCCAGAGCCGGCGCTTCACAGGTCAGTAAAGTCTAACAGGTTCATCCTCTGGGGAGCAGCAACGCACTCAGGACGTGTGCAGCTATGACAAAAATGCACCATAGATGGATTATGAATAGTTATTTGAAAGAACACTTGAGGCTCAGAGAAACGTCCCTATTCTCTGACTTTTTATCAACTACAAGATTAACGAACTGATGAAAATAAAAGAGAAATCTGCAGACTGGAGACTACAGACGTCTGTGGTCAACGTATAAGAGAAGTCAATAAGCGAGTAGCTGAACAGATTGGAACATATGATGCATTTCTTTAGGCTGATAGCTTCACTGACCCACGAGTCTGTTAGAAGTTAATGAATATTTAGCATCAGCGCCCCCTGTGGGACCGACAGTAACGCCGTCGTTAGATCACAGGGCTTCCCTTTAACACAACAAGCACAGCATCAGATAGAAAACAAGTCTGACAAAAAATAGAATATTCTCAATATGACACATTAAATATTTTAAAATAATAAAGCATTTACATAAATACATGTGCATACGTACAGAAGTAGGAAAAATAACACGTCGCAGGCATTAAACATCAAAATCACACAAACTGTATGTCGTATTTGGTTTAAATAAATACTTGATTGTTGCAGAAGGTTTCAACAGGAGCCAATAATTAAAGACATTCAGTAGCAGGTGAGGAAGTCGGAGGATCCACATTCGTATACAATCGGATTAAATGCAAGACACGTCTCCTGTGGATATGATGTGACTGTGAAGACATAAAAGAATAAAATGAATGGTTTAGGTTTACATCTGCACCTTTCAGACGCGTCAGAGATTCTGGTGGTTTGCTTTTGGTTTTGTCTCTGTGGTTTTAACTCACATTCCTCCAGGACTCGTTGTTAGTCAGAGATTGTCGGTATGTTCTCCTCTAAATTTCATTCACCGTCGTTCTTATAACACATGGCAGAAAAATGGCCAAAACATAGATGGAAATATGTGGCAGCAAATAAAAGACAACTTCCTTTAACCCTCTGAACCTCAAAACCCATCACCGTAGTGGAAAGACAAATTAAACCATCTATCAGAGCTTGAAGCCGCAACAAGATCAAGTTGTTGGATTTTTACTGTTCTGATGGTCCTTGAACTACTCATCTGTGGTGTGCTCACTTTCTTCTACATGTCTGATTAGAAATTTGCCAAAAAATAAACCTGTTGCAGGAGTTAGATTCTGTAAAAACTACAAACTCTGCACTCTTTAGTGCAGCTGTGAACCTGTTAGTGACTCTGCTGCAACCAACAGTCACGTGACAACAATTCAAAACACTTGAGTGCAGATTGTGTCGAGCAGAGACGACACAAGTATGAAAAAATAAATAAATGTAAGTAGTACAACGTATGCAGAATCATCCTTCTGTCTCCAGTAACACCTGTGAGTTCATGTTGATTTTAGAATGTTGTTTTTGATTTTTCTCGAATAACTAATCAAAGAAAATTCTACTTTCGATTGTCGTTTTTATGATTTACGGCATCATAACTGTGTCAAACTGTACAAACATAGATTTCAGATTTCTCTCTCCTCCTAGTCGTGGTTGTTCTGTTTCCATAGAGGTGCAGGACTTTATGCTGCAGTGAACAATGAACCCACAGTGAGTTAAACAAGTGACAGGAGCAGAAACAGCTTCAGATCCAGAGGGTTAAAGGCACCCTGTGGAGCCTTTGTGGTGCGACGGAGAAACACTTTAAGGTCTCTGTTTTGTTTAAAGCTCTACAAGCACATGAATAAATGCACACAAACACAAACGATGCCCCTCACTGCAGAGAACAGGAGGAAGTGGTGCTAGCAAGATGTTAAACGTAAAATAAAGAGCGAGAAAAATGGAATTCCATTGCACTGAAAGGTGGCGATGCTTTGGATGTAAATATGGCTGCTTCACAGGGTTCCACAAAAAAAACAAAACATGGCAACACACTGAAGCAGGTGAACAACAACACCTGTAAGTCACTGCACGTGTGCACATCTGTGTTTGCATCCACATCAGGACGAGGTCACGATCACTCATCACCTCAGCGACAGACAACACGGAGCCAAATCATGAGCGACTCTGCAAATCAGTTTATCCACGCTGGCGGCAAACAAATCGTATCAAACGCTGCGTGTGTCGTTTCTGGGGTCCAGAAATAAACAATTTCAACTAAGGAACAGGAGCAGAAATGGCACATTTACTATAAATCATTTGCATTTTATAAAGAAGTCTTCGTTTCCTTCATCGGCCAACAAATCCTCCACAGTAACTTCTTCAAAAGTGCCACCGACCCAATATGATGACACTGAAGGCGATCACAACCCACCAGTCATCAAACGGTTCATCAGCCTCCAGGCTCCGTCACAAGATGCCACCAAACAATCTGGTTCTGACTTCACACGCTGAGCTCCTTCGCTGACCCACGGGCTGCACACAGCCTCACACGATGATGTCATAGAGTCTGCCGACCCGGCCCAGCCACTCCCGCAGCGCCTGGCGGACCCGGGCGTCGGTCACGTGGCAGGACAGCTGGCTGAGGCAGGGGTAGAGCGCCGGCTGCAGCGCCAGGAAGGAGGCGTCCGACAGGAGGAGGACCTGGTTGAGGAGAGTCAGGACCATGTTGGTCCACGCCTGCAGGGGGACGGAGAGAGATCAGTGCACACAAACAGGCTCAGCCGCTACCTTCATGAGCTGCTTCGTCTCTCTAACGGCTGGAGGTTGATGTGATTGGTCATTTGTTAACAGGCTGGATGGGAGCAGAACCTATAATCATGTCTCCTGTAAAAGATTTTGTTCACTGGTTTGGTTTTGGGACTATTTCAGCAGCACAGACGACAAATGATGACATTTTTACTGCAGGCAGCAGCGTGATCGTCTGACTCGACCACGAGTCCTCGCTGCTGCTCGTCTCTCTGATCGTGACTCTGCTCTGCAGCGTCTGGAGCTACAACCCAGTATTAATGAACTATCTGTAGTCTGTACTTTAGATACGCTCAAGGAGACTTCAGCACCACGGACAGCGCCACAGATCTCCCAACACACGGCAGCCGGGCCGATGCTTCAGAACTTCAGTCTGGGTTTTAGACTCTAATGTGGACAAACCTCTGTCAGATAGAGGATCAATGTTCTACTACTGCCTCTGCTCCTCAGGGATGGAGAGGTGGGATGGCCTCATCCTGCCACTTTCAAAGACACGTTATCTTTATTAAATAAACTTAACAAATCCTCAAAATTAGACTATTTGTCAGAATCACAAACTGTAAAAACAGGAAGAATTTTCTAATTTCCAGCTTTCCCAGAGTCACTGAACAAGAGTTTGTTGTTCATTTATGGAGATGTTCCAGATCTGAGCCTATTTCAGAGCAATAAACTTATTTAACACATCTGACTTAAACAAACTGTTCGCTCCGACCAGATTCTGCAAAAAACTAAATGTCTGTGCTCCTTTCTGTGAAGCTGTGACCACACGACTAAAGTTCAGGAACTGCTCACCTGAACCAGGTGAACCTGAACGGCCTGTAGTGTTTACACAGAGCAAAGCGTTGTAGAATCTCTGTTAAATGTTCAGACCATGAGGATATTCCTGACTGACACCATCGACACAAAGCTCTGAATCATAAACAACTGACAGTAAACATGAGTTCAACCAAACCTGACCTGAAACTAGAGGACAGATTGTAATGAACTGATTCCCACAGACCTGAATCTGAGCCTCAGAGTCCCTCAGTGAGATGCTGTGGGAGCTGATGGTGGATCCAGATCGTGGTCTTTTCTCCTGCCTCAGCACCTCCGGTCCTGCGCTGACCGAGTGCCTCAGCGGGGGTCCCTGCTGATCCACCAGCTGCTGGGGCCTCTGGGGGGGCCTCTGAGGCTCCACCGGGCCCCTCCTGTCCCCGCCGCCGGCCGCCGCCGCCCGGCCCTGCTCCTTCATGAACAGGTTGACGTGGCTCTGCTGCGGCTGCTGCTGCTGCTGTTTCCGCCGTTTGTACTCCATCATCAGCTTGCTGATGGTTTTGTCCGTGGCGATGGTGTACAGTTTGTTCCCGGCGCTTTCCCACCACTCCTTCCTCCTTCCCGGCCCGGCGCTGCCAGGAGTTCCTCCCACCGAGGTTCCCGCGATGCTGGAGTCCCTCCTCTCGCCTCCAGTTCGGAAGTGGTGAGGAAGACTTCCTGTGCAGCTGTGACGAGAGGAAAAAGATGAACTTATCTGACCCGTGAATAAACCGGTTTAGCCACATGATATGCTAACGCTCAGGATCCTCCTGTTGTTGTGGTGACATCATTAATGAGAATAATTCACTGGGTGTTCAGGGAGGCATGAAGACTCTTGTGTTCACTCTTGCAGCAAACAGTGATGTGTTTTGGCTCAGACACAGTTAGAGTCAACGGAAGCAGCTTTAAGAAGTGACCAAACCTGCTGATGCAGCTGCTCGTTCTGATTGGTTCACATGGAAGCAGTGAGGGGCCGAAGCACACAAAGCTCAGCGACTATCGGCTCCTGAGCTGGAACATGGCAGCTCCATAAAATCCTCACTAGCTTGTCAGCTGAGAGACTATCTGGACTTTCTTTATCGTCATTACACAAAAACACAGTCGTGAATCTGGCAACGAAATGTGGTTGGTTGGCGACTGGAGCACAGAACTGGAGCATGTGAGGCGGTGACTGGTTCATAAATACTGTAAACATATGACTACAAATATATATATATATATATATATATATATATATATAAAAGAAAAACTAGTACAATGGAAAAAGAGCTAAAATATAAACTGTATAAAAACAACTATTGTCAAAAAGTTTAAGGAGCAAAAATATGAACAGAATAAACAGCAGCAGAATATGAAATGAAATATTGCACCTTAAGTAATATTTCCTTTCATATATCTATATTGAGCTACTGTAGACCATCTATTAAGGACCTGCAGAACTAAAAGTCTTCACACCAGCTTGTATTTCACACCTCCAGGTTTATAACTAAACAGATTTGTACCCTTCAGGTTAACAAGTGCACAACAACACACGAGTGAAGTCAGACCTGAATCCTGGACTCGGTGTCGGTGTGTCTCCTGGCGACGCTGCGCTGACGTCCGCCGTCTGACACCGGTACGAGCCCTCCTCCGACGGCGTGCCCCGCGCCGAGAGCCCGCCCGCCGACGTCGGCGTGGACGTCTCGGACTGGAAGAGGGGCAGGAAGAACACGTGATCTCCTCCTCCTCCGATGCTGCCCCTGAGCAGCGCCGTCTCCTCCAGCGTGCTCTCCAGGTCGCGGTGCATCTGGATGTAGCTGTTGCACAGATCCATGCACAGCTTGTAGAGGCGTTTGACCAGCCAGGCCCAGTCGGCGCTGCCCAGCGGCTGCACGCTCAGCGACGGCACCGGAGCTCGCCACGGGTGGCGCTTGTCCCGGCCGCGAGGAGGGCTCACCTGTCAGAGGAGATGATGTTTAATATTACAGCAGCATGAGTCATCCATCCTCCTTACTGCACTCTGGGGTGAAAAGTTCAGGAAACACTCTGGGGACGGTCTCCGGAAAACTGGGACAAACTACAGAGAACACGACTAATGGGAGAAAAGAGCAGCGGAGGACGGATCCACAGAAAGCTCTTGTTGTTGTTTTTTGGTTCCTGGGGTTCAGTTAGAGGTCGACTATCAGTCACTGAGACCTCAGAGAGCCCCGGAGCTGTTTCCTTTGTCGGCTTAGCTTTCACACAGCTGCTATTTATGTCCAAACAGACAACAGACCATTTTATGTGCATCTTGTGATTTTTTCTGCTTTGAAACTGGGAATAATTTGAATAGCATCACAATAAATCACAGGAAGAGAAGCCAGCCTCACCTGCGCTGTTTCTTCAAAGATGTCTTCGTCCTCGGAGGAAGCAGAGCCGGGATGAGAGGAGTCGGAGCTGCCCTCCTCTTCCTCATACAGGATCCTCTTCACCTGAACACGACGGAAGGTTCAGACGTGACACAGAAATATGCTGACTCATGATAAGCTCAGTGGGAGCGAATGTGCTGCTTCACGGTTATCGCAGCGTTTACAGGCGAAGATGTTAAAATGTCTTTAGTAGGTGGAGGCCAAAGGGTTGGCAGGTCATTGGGTAAACATGTTAATACGTGATAGTTTTAGTTTGTTGTTACTGTTTATTCCAAACATATAAAATACCTGCTAGGAACGTCTTTCATTACACCTAACAGACACACAGAAGCACAGACGTAAACCGGAGATAAACATTTAAAAGGTAAAATCTAAACGACAACGACGGAGACAAACAGAAAACCACCTTCATCCTCTCAACATTCAAATTCACCAGCAAGAAAAATCACCAAAACAAGAGCATTAAATGGAGCCAAAAGTTCTATAACCAGAAATTCTTATTTTGATTTTTAACTTTCTGACGTCCTCGAACTTCTCATTCATGACATGGCAACTAAATTTGAGCTTAAAATTATAATACTTCATTAAAATCATTTAAAATAAGACCAAAAGTTAAACATTTGCTTCGACCAAATTGTGAAAATTGAAAAAAACAAACAAACCAACAGTTTGCCTGCAGCTACGCGGGAAAGTTCAGACTGTTGGTCACAAGAGTCACTAACGGGTTCACAGCGGCACAAGAGACTGCATAGTTTTTATAATTTATCTTTTTGCAGAATCTAGTTTTTGCAAAGGAGCAATTTTGGGCAAATTTTTTCAAAGAGTCTTGTGGAATAAATTCAATATTACAAAAATGCTACTATTTTAAGCCTAAATTTGTTTAAATATTTCATCCGAAAGTTAAAAAAAATTCTGCTTCTACATTTTGTGATCTGATAAATGGTGTTGGTGACTCTGTAGAGACATGACAAGTCTTTCAAACAGAGTTTTGCTGTTTAGAGGGTCATACAATGCAAAACAACATCAAATGAACAAGGTCGATAATATTCTACCTGCTGCGCCGTCATGCTGTCGGCCTGGCTCAGCGTGGCACACAGCAGGGCCTGGAAGTACAGGTTGAAGCTCATGGCAGACTGACGGTACAGATTCGCTGCTCCACAGACGCCCGACACCTTCATCAGCAGGTACTTCAGACCCGGCCGGGTGTCAAAGTCCCGCGCTGTCCTGCAGACGACGGAGTGACAGAATCATCAGCTGATTTACAGAATTATTAGAGATATCATGTATGGTTTCTGTTATTGCATCAGAGAGCCACAAGACACTGTCATCAGCGTACAGTCGTCCTCAGATGTATTCATCCCCATCCATTAAAGAAAATCTAAACTCACAACAGTCCCTCAAATAACCAGAAACTGAAAAAAGGAATAATAAATAAAAATTTGCTAAATTATAATTTAGTGAAATAAGACGTTGCTTTTGAATTGTGGTTGAAAAGAAAGAAAAATAAAAAAATAAAAAATGGACAAATGAGAGGCCTTTGCTGATGAGCAGTGGACCAGAACACCTGTCAACAGGTGCACAAGTCTGACTGAGAGCTACAGGAAACACCTGATGGCAGTGATTGGCTCAGAGGGTGGTTCAACTACATGTTAGTTCACGGCTCCCATCAGGCTGGTTTTAATTATTTTTGTTTTTTATTAAATTTTATTTATCACTATTTTTGTCAGTTTCAGCTTATGTCAGTGACTGAAGCTGTTTTTTTTCCTGCTGTAATGGGAGGCTGTGAACACATCTGAGGACGACTGTATACAGCGCCTGTGCTGTTGCAGCGACCTGTACGAGTCCAGCAGCAGGTCCAGGATTATGGCCAAGTTGGTCATGGAGATGTAGCGCAGGAAGCCGGCTGTGGGTTTGCTGGGGTCGGAGGTAACAGGCGTGACTCTCTCGTTGCCGTCGGGCTGCTTGACGAACTCCTCCAGTAGGATGTCATAGAGGTTCTGGAGCAGAACCTGGTGGGACAGAAGGCTCACCACGATGGTCCGGAACGGGATCCTGCACGGAGATCAGATCACATTCACTCAGAGTTTAAGATTTTCCTTCAAGTAAGAATTAGTTTTACTGAAATGGCGACATTATTTAACGTCGACTGTTTTGTGGCTTCTGTTGAAAATAATTGTCTGTTGAAAATAAATGTTGCTGCTGCTGCAGGTTTTCATGATAAAATAAATTAAGAAAATTACAATAACTATAATATCACCATGTGACCTCTGACCTCCTGCAGTTTGTTAGATACGGTTAAATATTCTGATAGACGAGTAGTTCAGGGACAATCAGAAAGGTGAGAATCAGAGCTGTTTCTACAGTTTCTGATAAATGGTGTAATGTCTGTGACTCCTTTAAAAACAGCAAGCCTTTTGGGGTTCAGAGGGATCATGGCGACACCCTGAGATGTAACTTAAATATGTTTCCCTCATGGTGAACCCATGTTTCAATTACTTGGTCTGCAGTGAACCATCAGACTGTGATATGGTCCAAAAACTCTAAATAATATTAATCTTAAATCCAAACGTAAATAAATATAAAAATAAAACAACAATTGGTACATTTTACCACCTAAACTACTCCAGAGGGCAGGAAACAGAAAAGTCGTAAAGAAAAAGTCTTTAAGGAGAATAAGCGTTGATCAGCTATTTCTTCTTGATTGGACCGTGTAGTTCTAGCTTCTGTACGTGACAGAACCACAGCTGTAGAGAGGACGCTGCATGAGACACACTCGGCTCTGTGCAAAGAGGATTTCACAACAAGCAGAAATGATGTGATAGAGCTGCACGATGTGTGGATTCTGTCTGAATGTCTTCACCGTGTCTCCAGTTTAACGTCTTATGGAGCCGTACACACCGAGATCCACTTTTCTTGTTTCGGTGACAGAATCAGGACAAAATGTTCCTTGTAAATTATGTTAACGTGTGTCTACTCATTACTACAAAATGTGTGTTTTTATAATTAATCATAATTATAGTATTACAACAGAACACATCTTTTTGGTGGATTCTTCTCACTGATACACGACCAGTGTAATCAAACCCTGTATTGCCTCCACACGGTGCAGCTCTACAGGCTGATGATTTGGTTCGATGGAGATCACACAGAAACACATGCAGCCTGAGAAGAACAACGACGTCACCAGAAACAGCCTTACCCGATTTTCCTGAAACCACGGCAGCAGAAAGACAAGCAAAAAGAGCGAGTTTAGCTTCTTATTCATCGTACTATATCTCCATTCAAACATTGAATTCAGAACACCTGCAGCGCCTGGAACAAACCAGCAGACAGACGACGGAGAGCAGACGAGGCTCCATGCTGTCTGATGGAAGGACACTGAACCCTTACACACACCTTCAGCTGGAAATCTGACGACTTTTCCTCAAGTGACCCAAAATATACAAAAATGTAAGATTTTTAAATGTTATATTTTTGTCCAGGTGCTGAGGAGGTTTCTGGTCAAACTTCACCATTCAGATGGAGTTTAGATCCACCGGTGTGGGTCAATAAACAACGCTGCATCATAAACTCCAGCAGCACAGTAAAAACAGCCTGTAAGCAGTCATGCCGGTAACAGAACAGCCACATTAACTGTGTTGGCTAGAACTTGTTTTGGGTCAGAAGCTGGGAAATGCAGTTCTAGTTTGAGGTAGTTAATCATCTTGTGTGATGGACCGAACCGTCTAACGCCTCAGTGAATTAATTATTAATTAATTAATTAATTAATTAATTAATTAATAGTTCAGTGTGTGTGTTTGTGTCTGCCGTCCACCTCTTCTGAGCGTGTCCGTTGGACTGCTGGTCGGACGGCAGCTCGATGATGAGAACGCAGGACTGAGCGTGCTCAAAGCCGTCCTTGTTGTTGGGAGTCTTTGGGGAGCACTGGGTGTCCAACATGAAGACCTGGGACAGAAAGAGGACACGTTAACGAGCTCTCCTGGGCCGGCAGCAGCTTTACAGCAGCTGGAATTTTGTACAGCTGCTTTTTGGTTAGAATAGTTTATTTAGTTTAAATTTACAGTTTAATTATGTCACAGGATGAACACAAGAGGCAGAAGCAACAAGACCGCTGTTACAGCACACAGTGTCAGAGTCGTATTCAATCATGATGACGAGTGTCTGAACGTCTACGGTGAGAACATTTACAATGACGTACAAGATCCGATACGACCCAACCCGAGTCCTTTAATATCAAGTATCTGCTGATGCCCGAGTCTGTTTTTCTGGATGATGCACACCTAGCTGTAGCTGCTACCTGTTTATCACTGCAGTGATCACATGAGGCGTGTAAGCTAACAGCGCTGTGTGGGATTAGCTGGTGACGGGAACCATGACAACGTCTTCTGAGGCTTCGTGACCTCCAGCCAACGCACACATGTTCAAATAAGCTCTGATCAAATAGCACATCAGTCTATCAGCCACTTCACATCAAGTGTAGGTCCTTGCACATACAAATCAGTAAAAAAATGCCTTGATCGGACCCGAGCCTGAGATCCTTGGATCGGGCTCAAAACATCCATAGTGAAGGTGCAACTTCCTGTTTCACAGCTTAGTCCTTAAATTGGAGGTTTGTAAAGGAGATAGCCAGTATTAGTGTTTATCTTTGTGGCCTCTCAGGTTGACGCACAGACAAAACGATATAACGTGTTAAAGACGGACCTGCTGAGCCATAGCTTTGATCCTCCAGTACTCGGCCTCGGCTGAAGGAGAGTGAGACGGAGCCGCCACCTTCACCTCACAGGCGTCTCCGGAAAAACTGTCCGAGCCGCTATGGAAACACGCCAGCAGGTTCTGCAGAGAGACACGGAGCAAGAACAAGTTAAAGCGATCTGGATTAAATAGAACAACAGTCATGTTATCCCTGATCTGCCAGCGTGAACCTGAATGAGCTACAGTTTGTCAGTAAACCTCTAGATGTGTCCATAAACAGAAGTAAAGGAGACAGCTCTGTTATAGGACGAGTTCAAACACTTGGAGGTGTCTGCCAAGGACTCAAGCTGCAGTTTACGTCTACATGTGTCCAGACTTGTATAATAAACTGTAAAGACTGTGGAGTGTGTTAAAGTATGAGTGTTACTGCAGAGAAGGTTCAAAATCTAAAATGTCCACATTTCACACATCTTTAACCCGACGGCATGAAAGACGGGAAAGTCATAATCTACCTTCTTTGTTTAATAATGGCCAGAAGAGGGTTTTCTGCAGAATATTGACGTGTCTCATATGATTTTATCCATTTACTGTCTAACTTTGAATCCGAACCGTTGATCTTTTAGTAAAACTTTGTGCCAAATTTAAAGAAACTCCTCCCTGATGTTGAAACAATATTGTATTTATGAGAGTTAAGTAGTGATTCCACCTTAAATCGTCACGTTTTCAGAACAATTTTCACCTCAACTGTCCCTGATTTGCCTGATTTGTTATCGTATAAATTCAATTGTTTTTAAAGACGTGTGAAATGGAAGCTTGATATAATAAATACTTTGCAAGACAACTGTGTTTTCAAACTGCCAGTTGATCCACTTCCAGGACGTTTGTGTCTCTGATGGAAACTTGAGGCTGTATTTGGATCCTTTTCCATTCCTATTATATTCCTACAACTTAAGCTTGAGCACATGAATACATCTCATTCTTTCCGGCTGTTCTGCTGGAGTCCACTGTCTCCAGATAACACTGCACATTTCAAATTCTAACGAGTCCAGACGCTGGTGCCACATGCAATGACTTTGGCTCCAGGTGTTTCTAAGCTATAGGGGCAGACAGACGGACTCCTGAAAACATCTCTGCAGAGGCATGAGCATAACAAACAGCGACCTGTGAAGGTACTGAAAATAGAAGGAGATGCATCTGTTTGGGAAGGTCTGAGCTGGATTACTGGACTAACCAGTGGATGATGCTCATTCCTGAAAACAGCAAACTAAAATCTTCAATCATGTATGAACATCATGCAAACCTCTGTTATCCACGTACCAGTCAAGCTTCCTAATACATAAAGATGATTGAAGCTGGTGGATTTATTCCAAACGTATGTACCAACTCTTAAATATGACGCTTTAATACTGTCCATACATTATATTACATGTGGCCTGGATACGCCGCTGATAAACAAAAGCAGCTTTTCTGTGAAATCGGTCAGAGATCACATGTTCATATGCCTGAAAGCATAAGCTACACGTTAAGGATTGACCTCCACATGCTTTAATCTACACGCTATGGGCCGCCAGTGTCCCACTGCCAGCGTCCTGCCGCCAGCATCCCGCCTCCAGCATCCCACCTCCAGCATCCCACCTCCAGCGTCACGCCTCCAGCGTCCCACCTCCAGCGTCCCACCTCCAGCGTCCCACCTCCAGTATCCCACCTCCAGCATCCCACCTCCAGCGTCCCACCTCCAGCATCCCACCTCCAGC